AGTGTATGCATACTTACGCACAGCACTGTTGTTGTTTGCCATGCTAACGGCTTATCGTATTAGTTAGCATACTTCAACAAAATTACCTCAATATCAATGCACTGGCTGCTCTCCATCATTAATCGATTTATTATGCAAAATTTTAAACAATTTAGCCTGCATTATTCATGGATTTCAACTTGTGTCGTCTCGTCGAGTCCCGTCACTCATTAGATGCAATTATTGTTTGGGCAAATTCAAATTGTTTTCGGATCGGGCCGGGTCGAGCTGTGCCGGGCTGGGCCGCACCGGATTGGGCTGGTAATTATTTGCGGTTTGTCATTGGCCAGTCGCCTGGCTCGCTTCACAGTTGGCGACATGCGGTGCATTCGCATTTGCATTGCCTGTGGCCGCTCGAAAGGCCTTCGAACTGATTTTCAATTATCCAATCAATTCAATTTGCTAATCAGCAATTATACAAACCGATAATGTTTGATATCCCAGTGATAGATGACAGCAGTTTGTAGCTAGAAAATTGACTGCAACAGCGAAGACCCAATACCAAAGCGAGCAGAGAGAAGATCCAGCAACAAGTAGAACTGCAGCAACATTTTATTATTGATTTTTGGGATTTGCATTAATATTTCAAGTGTAGTCTAAAGTGCACTTTGAGCTATTAATACTTTTCGTCAGAGTTTCCTACTTAAGTTTTATTTTCACAAAATATTGCTCATCTATGGATCTACTTGGGTATTTAATCCTTAAGTGAACAAACTACTCAAAAGTAACTTTTGGCAGGTAAGTTTGCCTGAATCCATAGAGTAACTCAGGCACACATAAACTCGCACACATATACACTCACACACACCCACGCCTATACACATATAGCGGTTGTTAATGGCTTCTCTGTGCCTCTTATACTTCTTAACTGTAATGTTTATTGGTCGATCTTATTGATATGGTCATGGCATGCATTAATGTAGTAACCAAATGCATTATCTTCCTAAAAGTTCCTTGGGGAAAAATTGATTAAGGTATACAAAAAGTGGATGGGATAAGTTATACACTAAGTGGAATGCATTGTCTTTGCCTTTGGGTTTGATTAGCATTCAGAGATATAATTTTGTAATTGATCAGCGCATAATATAGGTAGAGTTACCAAACAATGTTTCGGGTTTAAGTCGACTCAGTCTCTGAATCCAGTAAAAAAGACAAAATGAAAGAATGAATGAATGATTGAATGATAGAATGATTGAATGAATGCATGAATAAATGATTGAATGATAGAATGATTGAATGAATGCATGAATAAATGATTGAATGAATGAATGAGTGAATGAATTGAATGAATGAGTGAATGAATTGAATGAATGAATAAGTGATTGAATGAATGAATAAAAGAACGAGTGAATGAATGAATGAATGAATTCATGAGTGAATGAATGAATTAGTGAGTGAATGAATGAGTGAGTGAATGAACGAGTGAAGAAATGAATGAATGAATGAGTGAAGAAATGAATAAGTGAATGACTGAATGAATGAATGAATGAGTGAATTAATGAATGTATGAATGAATGAATGAGTGAATGAATGAATGTATGACTGAATGACTGAATATGTGGATGTATGAATGAATGATAGAATGGATGTGTTCGAGACATACAATGCAGCTAGATTAAACATTTACACTGGCCTGCATAAATATCACTTATTCACAAATTGGGCATCCATAGTCAACTAAGAATGCAGCAACTGCAATAACATTAAGTAAATCAGATTTGTGTTGTGGAGATCAATTTGCAGCTGTTAATATGAATATTTCAATTGTAGCTAGGCTCAGCTTGGAGCTGATGGAAATTTAGGTTCACTAGATGGAAATTTGTTGGTTGGCTGCCAAATGGTTGGGGCTTTTGTTGCAGCTCTAACTGGATGTCAGATGCACTTTGATCCTTTTTGCTAGGCCCGCATCCGGCAAATGTGAAAATGTGTTCCTCCTTCAGTGTGTGTGTGACAGTGTGTGCATGTGTGTGTATGTATGTGTGCATGTATGTGTGTATTTATGCATTTGTAGGGCACAGGCTGCAACGTTGGCTGGACACTGATGGAGAACGATGCTGGTTCTGGCTCTGGGTTTGTGGCTGTGTGTGTCTGTATGTGTCTGCGTGTGTGTGTGTGTGCGTCCCATTGGGACATATTTTATATTTAATGCAAGACATTTGTCATGCGGTTGGCGCATTTATTCAAAGTATTTGCTGCAATTTTAATGCCAAAATGAGAGCGCAATTTCAAATACCAAAAAATGCACACGAACCGCACCGACTCGGACCGGGCTGGAATGGGTGGGACGGATGGAACGAGTCGGCCCAGCGCCTGGGCCACACTATTTAAAAATGAATTTATGCGAACATCTGTATGCGAATGCGTATATATATATAAGTGTATTTATATAGCTATATACGTATACATATGCCTTTGATGCAAAGGACAATATGCTGTCATTTGCATGTATATATAAATGTCTGCATATATATACATGTATACACATATGTATATGTATATGTATGTATATGCTGTTGACTTAAGATCATTTTAATTAAATTCTAACTGGCGACTTATTTATTTTGCGTGTTTTTTTGAATTTCTCTTTACAGAACCACTTGGAAGATGCCAAATTGAATCAATTTTGAAATATATCAAACATATATGCGGGGCAGGCAATAACCAAATGAAACTTTACAAAGCTAACGCTACCCCAAAGGGCATCAATAAATAAGTGTGCATATACTTGGAATATATATATATTATAC